CACCGAAGTCCTTGACCGGTTCGAAGGGAAGGAATTCACTTGCGAATATAAGTACGATGGAGAAAGAGCCCAGATCCATTTTGTGTCTCCGGATTCTATCCACCAATATCCCGGTGCCTTGGACACATTACAAAAGGACAGCAAGGGACTCTCCTCGATCTTCTCCCGCAACTCGGAAGATCTTTCAAAGAAGTATCCCGATGTTCTAGGCAAGCTTGACACGTGGGTCAAACCTGACGTTAAGAGCTTTGTTCTTGATTGCGAGACTGTCGCATGGGATATGGAGGCCAAAAAGGTTCTTCCATTCCAGCAACTGATGACTCGCAAGCGCAAGGATGTCAAAGCGGAAGATGTCAAGGTCAAGGTCTGCGTGTATGCCTTTGATCTTCTTTTCTTCAATGGAGAGGTAAGATCATCTGTTTAATGTCTGTGGTAGAGGAATTCGCTGTATCTCTTTTCTCCTCTCTTTCCTCGCGATTCGGTGTTCTTTACCATTACGGCGGGGATGGCGAGAGAAGAAAGAGGCACGCAGAGTCGCTTTGAACCATACCTAGTTGTTCTCGCTAACCTTCAACAGCCCTGCGTGAAAAAGTCTCTACGGGAAAGGCGAGAGCTTATGCATGAATGCTTCCAACCGATTGAGGGAGAGTTCCAGTTTGCCCAATATGGCAATTCTAATGTCCTCGACGAGATCCAAGAATTGCTCGAGGCCAGTGTTAAAGCTTCTTGTGAGGGCCTTATGGTGAAGATGCTGGACACAGCAGAGAGTGGCTATGAGCCAAGCAAGCGGAGTCGCAACTGGCTGAAGGTATGGTGCCTCTGTTGTTGATTGTTTCAACCGTCGCTAACTTTTATACAGGTCAAAAAAGATTACCTCGCCGGTGTTGGTGACTCTCTCGATCTTGTCGTACTCGGGGCCTATTATGGTCGAGGAAAACGTACTTCAGTTTACGGTGCCTTCCTACTCGCTGCCTACAACCCCAGCAGTGACACATATGAGACCATATGTAACATCGGTACTGGCTTCTCTGAGGTGCTACTTGAAGAGCTACATCAGACGCTAGTTCCCTTGGTAATTGACCGCCCAAAGCCATTTTACACTCACTCGGCCGTCCCCAAGGACCAACCGGATGTTTGGTTTGAGCCAAGACTGGTGTGGGAAGTGAAAACAGCCGATTTGACCCTCAGCCCCCGCTACCAAGCCGCTGCCGATGAGTTCCAAGGAACAACCGACGGTGGAAAGGGCGTGTCTCTACGTTTCCCGCGGTATATTAAATCTCGCGATGATAAGAAGCCAGACGAGGCTACTACCACTCGTGCTGTGGCAGAGATGTATCGGAAGCAAGAAGCAGTCACCAAGGAGACTACGAGCAAGGGAGGCGTGGATGATGACTTTGAGTATTGAAGCGATTTTGTTAGACGCACTATAGCGAGTGTAATTGAATTCATTGGATACTGATATTACGGGCTCTCACTCGAATGCATTTTCTAGAATGGCACCATTGCTCAGTTGGGGTCATTGGGGCTTACCGTGGTGTCATCTCTAGCCTGATTGTGCTTCTTTCTGATCCCGGGACAATCACAACTCGTGGGCACCAATCCATCCATTTACTTTTAATATAACAGTCCTTTTCTAAAACAAAGCTCCTGTTGGTCGGCATCCAATATCATGACTAAGGTTATTCTATAATTCCGGCTATCAGCGGCGGACTCCGCGGTGCTTGGCGCTGCAAGCCAAGCAGCTAAATCTTGCTCGGGCCCTATATTGGCCCTGCATCCGCCTTTCTTGGTTCATAGCACGTCTTCCTAAGGCCTTGGAAGCGGCCTATAGCACAAGATAATATCATGCATATCTGTCTTGGCACCGAGGGATGTAACATGCCCCCCTTCGACGGCACAGTACCCTCTCCGCCATGGCTGCTAGCCCACTGCACGTGTGGAGTCCCGACTCTTATATTTCGGTGTCGGTCCGGAATGCAGCCCGTCTGGTTCTCTGCACGTTTCTCCTGAGCTGTGTGGGTGTGTACTTGATTGTCGATATGCGTGTGTTCCAATTGACGACGGCCCTCGGGTCAATCATTGTTTCTGCGGCAGCCCTTACTCCCGAGTCAGTTCTGATCTTCCCACGCGATTGACTAATTGTACTTCTTGGCTGTTTGCTTATCTTCTTTGTAGAGAGCTTATTACGGCCCCGAGGCGGGGTGAGGCTATTCCCAATCCATCGGGGGTGAGTTACACTATTGTATGTAGATATCGACAATGTTATTGACCTGACATAGGAAGTCGCGCTTTTTTCCACCTCTGAGTACTCCTTCGAGACCCATGTTACATCGACATGGTGGAGTCTACTGGATCTGGAGACTGGAAAAGTGACTCAACTTACCAACGACAGCAATGTCTCCGAATTGACCTGGCTAGGGTCTACTGACTCGGGTCTGCTGTATATCAACGGCACTAATGCCGAGATTCCTGGAGGTACCGAGATTTGGGTGTCAGATACTTCTAATTTTGCCACCTCGTAAGGTTACATGCGTATTTATTTGGATAAAACGTTCCTAACTTCTGCGCAGTGCCTACAAGGCAGCTTCACTGCCGGCGCCGCTTTCTGGCCTCAAGACAGCCATCACCAAATCTGGAGATATTAACTTTTTGGTGTACGGAGAGTCCTGGCCTAATGGAACGGCGTACAATGAAGAGCTCGCCGCTAAGCCACTAAGCTCGGCACGTATCTACGATAGTATTTACGTCCGCCACTGGGATACCTGGCTTACGACGAGATTCAATGCTATCTTTTCAGGGACTCTGAAGAAGAAGAGAGCTGGGCAAGGAGCGGCATCCACCTATACCTCTAGTGGATCTCTCAAGAATCTCGTCGCAGGAGTCAAGAACCTCGAGTCACCTTACCCGCCGTTCGGCGATTCGTCTGACTATGCCATCTCCCCGAACGGAAAGTTGGTTGCATTTAAGAGCAAGGCGCCTGAGTTACCACGTGCAAACAACACCGCTTCATATATCTATCTTGTGCCTCATGATGGATCAAAGAATGCTGTGGCCATCAATGGCCCAGATAGTCCTGGCACACCGAAAGGCATCAAGGGTGATTCGAGCAGTCCTGTGTTTTCCCCAGATGGCCTTCACCTTGCATATCTCCAAATGGAAGATATCTCCTACGAGTCGGACCGTCGCACGGTTTATGTTTACACTGTTGACTCCAAGGATGCTATTCGCACACTGGCCAAGAACTGGGACCGGTCACCTGAGGCAATCAAGTGGACTGCTGACGGAAAAAGCTTGGTTCTGAACACCGAAGATTCTGCACGCTCTCGACTTTTCCTGTTGCCCGCCGATGCTGGTAATGATTTCAAGCCTAAGAACTTCACTGACGGTGGTGCGGTGGCTGCGTACTACGGTCTACCTAACGGAGACTACTTGGTTTCTGGTTCCGCCATCTATACGAGCCGCACAGTTTACACCGCAAAGCCTGGAAGGGGTGTCACAGGGGTTATCTTCTATGCCAACGAAGTTGACCCTGCCCTAAAGAGCCTTGGTCCATCAGACGTGAATGAGTTCTACTATAAGGGCAACTGGACGGATGTAAGTCTGCCGTTTTCTCATGAAACTGAAGGGATATTGACGTTATAGATTCATTCCTGGATCATTTACCCCTCAAACTTTGATAAGTCAAAGTCATACCCGCTCCTGTTCTATATTCACGGTGGTCCTCAAGGCTCCTGGGCTGATTCCTGGAGCACTCGGTGGAACTACAAGGTCTTCGCTGACCAAGGATATGTTGTTGTCGCACCCAACCCAACTGGTAGCACTGGGTTTGGTGATAAACTCACCGATAAGATCGCGAACAATTGGGGTATGTGATTCTCACCATTCATTCTCATTATTACCATCTAATTATCAATAGGAAGCTACCCTTACGACGACTTGGTTAAATGTTGGGAGCATGTCCGGGATCACTTTGACTTTATTGATACTGATCGTGGCGTGGCAGCCGGCGCTAGCTACGGTGGCTTCATGATCAACTGGATCCAGGGTAATCCTCTAGGCCGCGAGTTCAAGGCGCTGGCCAGCCACGATGGCACATTTGTGGCTGATGCAAAGGTCTCGACCGAGGAACTGTGGTTCATGGAGCATGAGGTGTGTATCTTATTCATGGTATTTGCCCTGCTTCTATATTAACTCTTCCAAAGTTCAACGGCACGTTCTGGGACAACCGAGACAACTATCATCGATGGGATCCATCGGCTCCAGAGCACATTAAACAGTTCTCTACTCCACAGCTCATTATCCACAGTGATTTGGATTATCGGCTTCCCATCTCCGAAGGCCTGGCACTTTTCAATGTCTTGCAAGAGCGAGGTGTACCAAGCAGGCTGCTCAGCTTCCCTGATGAAAACCATTGGTACGTATAATGAATCCCTTTGAATGGGGATACATTATCCAAGAATCATAGAGCTAACTCAATGGCATTGAATAGGGTCGTCAACAAGGAAAACAGTCTTGTCTGGCATCAACAGGTCTTGGGATGGCTCAACCACTACGCTGGCATTGACACCCTGGGCTCTGTCAGTTTGGATGACACGACAATTCCTGTTGTAGATTATAGTCCTCAGTTTTAGGTCGCGTTTACTGCAAGTCGGGGTCTTCTGCCTGTCATGTCTCAGATGGTTTGTTTTCAAGATTGTGTTTCGTAAATATTTCCTTTACGGTTTCTATGCTGTGTTCAACTTCTATACATGAACAATGGAACCATCACAATTTCAAACCCTTTTTTATGTGCTTTGTGTGGTATGGCGGGTGTCTCATAGAACCTGGCGGGTTACCAACAGCGAAGATATAAAGTTCCCAGTCGCCTACAAACGTTTTCCAGCAAACGCATTACCTATCAAACGCATCACTCTTCCAACCCCTTCTCCCCAGATTTTGTCTTCTCTGCCATCTATCTACCATCTCCCTTCATCAATCTTCTTTCCCAGTCAATAACCATCATGCCTCCCAAACCTTCCTCCCGTAAGGGCGTCAAGAAGGGTATGTCCCATACTTTGTCTCCTCATCCATCATTATCTCCCATCAGAAAGAAACAGAAAGGTACAAAACAAGCCATCTTAGAGAGAGCTAACAGCAGTTCCCTGCCAGGAGTCCTCAAGACGGAGTCCTCTGCCGGAACCCAATCCCCAAGTGAGTACTGGAATCAGCTTACAGACCTTCAACGGGTTTTCTTTGATGACGTTACACAACAGACAGGTTCTAACCACTATGCCTTTGGTGCAGAGATCAAAATTGAGATGCCATCCCCCACTCCTGCTTCTGTCGCCAATGGTGCGAATGAGAGTGAGTACAGTTTTGACTTGACTCCTGTCCCAGGCCCAACCTCAAGCCCATTCCCATGTACCGAGGATGATCTTACCCTATGTCACGCTCCCACTGCCGATCCCACCGGCTACCCTATCTTTGTTTCCCGAAATGGACGCTGGGACTGGTATTACCTTGCCTCTAACAACAACATAGAGTCTTCCGCTACCCCTGCCAATGAGACAACCAACGGAAACGCCAAGAACATAAAGAGTGAGTTTACCACAGGTCTCAGTCTTTTCCCGAACCAATTTCCCTGCACTGCGGCCGACATCACCTTGTTTCCTTGTCCAAACCGTGGTCTCAATCCCGCCAACAGTCCCACCTTCTCTTCTCAAAACGGCCGTTGGGAATGGATCTTTCTCCCCTCTAACACGGATACAGAGTCTTCCCCTCCCAAGGTCAAGATGGAGGATATCCCCGAGGCCAATCCGAGGGTTCAGCAACCAAGCAACCCCGTCTCGACTACATTCTCTGCCGCCGATCTAGACCGCTTCGTCTTCCCATACGGCGCCCCCGACAGCGACGATGATATGTCCTCCCTGCCCTCGCTGGTCGAAAACATAGCCGAGCAAGCAAGGACCGCGAAGTATGTGAGGTTCTTCATGAACACTACCCACGACAAGCACTTCGTTCCCATCGAAGTGCCCCCTCTCACTGGAAATGATAACTGGGATCCCTGGTTGGTCGCCATGCGTTTGCTCTTCCGCCAGCACTCGGTGTGGCCTATTGTGACTTCGGAGCTTCAGCCACTGTCTCCTGGTCACAACTTGTATCTGTGGTACCAGCGGATGCGCGATTGTGCAATCGCCCTTATCTACGCCAACGTCTCTGAGGAGGTCCGTAGGACCCATTGTTTCATGAGCACTGCGAGCGAAGATGATGCCGATGTTCTGATGACTCACCTGTACGCTCACTACTCCGAGCCCGATTCCACTCACCCTCACGAGGAGTCTGAGCTTGATTAGGTGGGTTGTGCTTGAGGTTTGACAAGGATTTGCGTGTTATGCGGAGTGTACATTGCCATATGTACATTGTCCCGGGGTTCATTGATCTCTATGATCTTTCGCCCGTCTCACCCGGATCTTTCGATATCTGATTTTTGATGCTCTTTCATTTGCATGTAATGTGCAGGTACAAGCTTTTTTCCCCCTTGAATCTTAACAGGTTGTTGCCTAACGGTTTTCTTGTGTATTTTCACCTTGGTGATTTGATGTTCTTCTCTTACACGCATAAGTCGGGAATTGAACGAGTTTTAAAACAAATCCACACTTTCTCTTAGTAATGTCAAGAATAGACAATTATGTAGGCATTATCCTTCAATTAAAGTAGGCAAGAAATCCCCTAATAAGGCTTGCTGGCGCTGCCTTTTGCTTCCATCCATATTTCGAAAGGGTTTCTATGTATTAACGTACCAATGTTCTCTTCTCAACAACACAGCTTATCTCCGTTCGTATGTCCAGCGCTAACAACGGCCCGTACCGAGCATCAGCGCTAATGACCACGGCCTTCGGATTTACGGCAAAGTGCCTCTCCTTAAGGCCGAAACAATGTCGATTCGGCGATTTTCGGCTTGACTCGCACCATCTCAATGGCACCACAGCAATTGAATATCCCTCAGCAGGACCAGACGTAGAAGACGGTTACTCAGGGTATCGGAGTTAAGGTAAAGTCCGGATATCCACGTATGTGACAAGCAACTACATACATGCTTGGATATAAGCCCTAGAATTTGCAGACCTTCCAATCGCACCACACTCCATATATTCCGGCTGCAACCTCTTCAACAAAGGAACATCCACAGCGATCTGCCAGGTATCCACCATGACTGGAACTCATCGCGCCGCCATCCTCCCACAGAGGGGTGGTCCCTTGTCCGTTGTGGAGCGCGCCACACCCGAGCCGGGTCCAAATGAGGTTCTTATTGAAGTCAAGGCTGTCGCCTTGAACCCTGTCGACTATTACCAGCGTAACTTCGGCATGCCTCATGTGCCCATCTACCCGGCTGTGATCGGGTCCGATACTTCAGGTCTCGTCGTAAAGGTAGGCTCCAATGTCACCACGGTTCCCGCACCAGGAAGCCGAGTTATTGCATTTGCCTCATCATTCTATCAGCATGGCTCCCCAGACCACGGTGCCTTCCAAAAATATGCCTTGGCACAGTCAGAAGGCGTCATCGCGCTTCCAGACAACCTCTCGTTTGAGGAGGGTGCTGTACTTCCCTTGGCTGTCTTGACCGGCCTGACTGCCTGGACCACAATCGGCATTTCACTCGACACCAAGTACACCCCGCAGGATAAGCAGGCGGTACTGATTTGGGGTGGAGCTAGTAGTGTGGGCACTTTGTCGGTTCAATCGGCCAAGTCACTCGGCTTCACTGTCTACGCTACCGCTAGTCCTAAACACCATGGTTATCTTAAGAAGCTAGGAGCGCATGCAGTTTTCGACTATAAAATGAGTGATGTTGTCTCACAGATCGTTCAAGCTGTGAAGAAGGATGGTGTTAATCTGCATACCGCACACTGCGTCGTTGATGGAGGCCTACAACCAACGCTGGACGTTCTTAAAGAAACAAAGGGCGATGCAGCCGCTAAAGTTGCCCATTCGCCTATGCTACCCCCAGACCATCCAACACTTGAGAACACGGAGATTACGTTCAATTTCCCATCGATGGGCCCAGCTGAGAGAAGTAAGCACATGTACCAGTGCTTCCATGGATGGCTGGAAGACGGTCTGAAGTCCGGTTCAGTCGTTCCCAGCCCGGCTCTCCAGATTGAGGATGGCGGTCTAGACGGTGTCAATGCCGCACTGGATAAGTTGAAGGCCGGTGTCAGTGGGACTAAGATTGTTTTGCCAATCTGATATGTTTTTAAATGTTGCCAGCGGGATGTTAGCGAAATGACGAACTAATAAACCACTCTCTACCCCTACATCTGACGCTTTTGATTTTCATGTTTCTTTTCCCAAAAGAAATGGATCTTGTTATTCATAATATTGACTATGTAACTAGTTATTTGAATCTGCGATGTGGGCTCCTCCCCATTTGGGTAAAAGTAGTGGAATCGGTGTACAGGATTTGCTCGCTGAGTGGACCACATACTAACTTCATTGTCTTGTGGTTCGATGCAAAATGCAAGTGTGGTGTAGATCTACATGTATCTCATGGCTTGTCTTGTTGGAAAGACTGCGTCAACTGGTTGGTTTTGCAGCCACAGGCCCTCCTAAGCAGCAACCCGAAAAGGGTGCATTCGGAGCCAGTTGAGACCACAAAATATTTGCGGTCAAAAAAAAAAGACATTCTTTTGTTTTTTTTTCCACAAGACTGACTGAAGAGAGGTCTCACGGAGTAATTTTGCCAAGGTTCGTGCCCCCAATTCGACTGTAAATACGCATAGAAAGTTAATTAAACCAGCCTTATTCAGCGAAATGTACATTTGGACTGGTTTTGGAGAGGGGAACCGACCAACGGAGGATAATCCGTACATTTGATCAACAAAACCTCTGCCCATTATCGAGCACATCCCAAAACTGCCCAAAATGACAGGCTCAAACTATATACCTAGGATCAACCTCGTTCGCATCGCACATGTCTTTTACACTCATAAAGACATCAACAAAGCCCATGAATTTCTATTGGACTTCGGCTTCCAGGAAGTCAAACGTGTGGGCAAGGATATCTATTACCGCGGTACTAGTTCCCAACCATTTGCGTACTGTGCGCAACATGGCGAAGAAGATGCGTTTGGAGGCGCCGCTTTCGTCGTGGAATCCGAAGCTGATCTCGCCGCTGCCCAAAAGCTACCTGGAGCTACGGAGATATATGACCTGAGTGATGCGCCTGGCGGTGGTCGCTGTGTTACTTTCCACGACCCTGTCGATGCTTTCCCTTTTCACATTGTTTATGGGCAAGCACCATATGCCGATGAGAAAGCGTTCCCGCAGCTGGATTTTAATTTTGTGAGTTATTCGTTAATTACGAATGTGCCTATGTTTCTATCTGATGTTGTTCTGACTTTCTCTCAGCCGACGGAGAAACACAGGCCAGGTAATAAGACGCAGCGATTCCAAAAGGGTAAGTGGGTGAAGCAACTCTACACACTTATTCCTCGTCCTAAGGTATACCGAAACAAGGTCCTGCTCCGGTGCACAAATTAGGTCATTTTGGAATGTGCGTCACCGATTTCAACAGGGCGTTTGGTTTCTATACCAGTCGATTCAACTTCAAGCCGAGTGATGTAAGTACTCTTAACCCCCTTAGACTCGGTTTCTGTCTGACTGGCGAGCTATGTTTTAACCATCAAAGCTGGTCCATGACCCCACCGGAAAAGATATAACTACATTCCTCCATTTAGATCGCGGTTCTGAACTAGTTGATCACCATTGCTTTTTCTTCTTCGAAGGTCCCAAGCCGCACGTACATCATTCCTCATTTGAAACACATGATTTCGACACGCAGGTTTTGGGTCACGACTGGCTGCGCAGCAAGGGGTATGAAAACTGTTGGGGTGTAGGACGTCATATTATGGGAAGTCAGATCTTTGATTATTGGTATGTTTTATTTGACAGCACCATTATCTTGGAAGTAGCTCCTAACCATGTATGTGTGAAACTCAAGGTTTGACCCTTCTCGTTTCATCATCGAACATTATGTTGATGGTGACTTGGTTGATGATCAACATCCCATCAATCGATCCCTTGCGTCGCCCGACAGTTTGCATGTTTGGGGTAGGTCTTAGTATCCGACGGTACTGTCTTATGGAGACTAATTTGAGCCTAGGCCCGGATCTTCCACCTACCTTCCTGCAGTAATTTCGGATATTTGTTTCTTTGAGTTCTCGGGCTAGACAAGTAGTACCTGAGAATACAACATTATATCATCGTTCACTCTGGGCTTCTAGCGGGCTAATCTAGTTCGTCTATCATTTTATCCAAGGCTCGATCCGTGAACTCTGACGTATGAGATAAGAGATCATGAATGAACCAAGGACCGCAATACGTATCGCAAAAAGGCAAATTAGCTTGAGTCTGATGTCTCACACCCGGCCTATCCCGGCCCAAATAATGCAGGACGAACGAAGGCGCGAAATTGGGCCGAGAGATACATCGAAAATCATCCGTGTGATAGTGTGATTCGCATTGATACCGCCAGTTGCGATCACTCTTCGTGCCGTGTGAACCCCTGTCGATTTAGTAACTGAGTTCTCTCAAAGGATGGTTAGTTCATGCCTAACTCATAGACTGAAGTTGTCTCACGCCTAGTTGTGGAGATCTTATATCGATCTCACTCGGATTATAATAAGCCATAAAACTTCGTACTTATATCTACTTTTACGTAGGACTTCTTCTAATCTTATTTCTGTCTATCGTCTTGTCCCAAACTAAAACCCTTTGATAAAATGTCTCCCAATTCGATAAACCTTGTTAGGTTCATAAGCGAGGAGAATGGTCAGATTCATCTTAACGAAGTTGATGCCAAGAGGTATCCAGATAATATGACGGAGCACAGGCGGCGAAATTGTACTCGAACAGCTTGTATCACATACAAATCCACAAGCGCATGTGCTCTGGCATTCAATCATGTTAGCATGTTCTCATCTCAATTCAGATTGCCAATAGGAGCGAAGAAAACGATAAATTCGACCGCTACGGATGTCTGCAAGTCACGAGGTGCTCACCCCGTTGTTGATGTAAATCAGTCCACCAGCCGCCAAGCTACTACTCGACATGATCATAATGTACACTAAAAGGGAAGAGAAAATGCTTCAATGTACACAAATTGTCCACTATATACGTATGCTTATGGACTATCTCATGACATAACTCCAAACCCCGATCTAGAACCCATTTAGATTCTTCTGCGCCGTAATAACATCCCCCTTATCCACAAAGTCCGCCAGCACCACATTCGGCGCACGCCCATACAGCCCAGCGCATAGCGCCGCCTGGGCGCCAATACTACCCTGCCCCGACGCAGCATTAGTAGTACCTACCCTCTGGCGAGCTGGGATCTTTACGCCGAAAATATCTACATCAAGGAAGTGGTTGACAATGCCCATACGGCCTGTAGCGGCGGCGCCGGAGGGCCGGTCGATGCTGCAGTTTGAGAAAGAGGGGTCTGTGACGTCGTAGGCTGTCTCAAAGTAGTAGGCGAACTCGTCTTGGATGTAGTTCACTTTTGTAGTGTCGGCACCGTAGTCTAGGGATTGTCAGTTTCAATGTATATACAGGTCTTTGTGGTTGCTGCTTTTTACCCAGGAATACGACCAATCTCTTTCCGCTAGATATCATATCACCCAGTGTGGGCCAATCCGTGATTGCTAGCGGATTTACGGAGGGAACATAGACATAGTTGGTAATTCCGCTGCTGGAGAAAGTGTCTCCAAACTCGGTGATGGCTACCGAGTCTCCATTTGTCAAGAGGAGACTGACGACTTCGTTCGGGTTTGCATCCAGCCAGCTCTTGATAGTCTCCAAGTACGATTTGAGCGGCCCTGCATCTTCGAGCAAGCATGATGTATGGCACAGTTCTAACACATTCTTATCAACGATGGAATGGTGTGTTTGTACTTGCAGGTACCGGATTCCCATGTCGAGTTGGGCTTTTATATCGATGTTTTGGTTTTGCTGGGGCAAAGGCCCGACAAATGCGGAGTCATGGGAACCCACAAATGTGATATTTGAATAGGACCGGGTGCAGTACTCTGAGCGACCGTTGCAGGTTGTCGGGGCTAAGGTTGACATCGACGGGGTGGTCGAGGATATATGCGCCGAGGACTGAGATGCTCGCAGTGCCAGTGTTCCTGTCCCTGGTACTGCGATTACAGGCTGGAGAAGTAGGAGAGCACTCAGCATTGCACGTGTCATTTCCTGGTAGATTTGCGCCATGGTTTTCGGGGTCGCTTTAGGTTATACTTGGTTCTGAACGGGAAGGCGCAAAGAGGCGATGTTTCCCGTTTTATGCTCGACTTCCTTGTTGCGGATACCGTGATAATATCTGCTGTCCCCGGTCACGCAGGAGCGACAGCTGCCCACACAAGAGTGATATCAGCTGCCCCTGCGAAGGGTAAATAAGCTCATGCTGATTCCCACGTACATTCCACATGTCGATCGATGACCAAATGAGAACTTCAAAATAAAGGGAGGGGGAAAGAAAACTGAAACTGACCATAATAAGGTCGAGTGTGAGAAATACCCCCAGTGATAGGACATGATCATGAATATCCTAGTCTCCTCGTGACCACAGCCATGCACCAATAGCAGGCCTCATTCATGGTCACCCCGGTCATTCTTGGCTGGCCCCAAATAGTCTGACTTTTGAAAGACTTCTCTTTAAATTCAAGTGATTTGAGATAGGGAAGCTTCGATGTTGCATTAAATCTTGCTAGTACGGGCCTCCTGTACGGGTAAGGGTCGGGTTCAGTCGGTTCGGCAGAGCAAGAAAACCTTTTGCCAAAAGTAAACGTGGGTGATCTGTTATTTTCTAGTATTATAGGCTTTATTCTGTCATGGGGCATCATGGAAAGGTTCATCCTGTTCAGTTCCAAACCATTCAGGTTTTGATGGACTACACACAGTCAGTTGTAGTCATGGATATGGATTATCGCTGCTTGAACGAGACTAGACTCGTTGCATAGTCGATACCACCTAAATATATAAATATCATACAAATATTGATGATCATTAAACATGCGCTAGTAATCGATGGTCTATTTAGTGGGATGAGCGAATATCCTACATTATACCTAGTACACCTACCCCGTCACATACAAAATTGCTTTTTTCATTCATAGGCCCGTTAACCTCAGTATAGCTTTTATGTTATTAAATTTCTCCCTTTTCTCTACTTCATATTTACTACGCCTCTTGCATCTTTTTTCTGTAAAGACCTACATTAGTTGCCTCCCGAGATCGGATTCAAGGCTATCAGGGTATGACAGGTGCCACATCGCTTTTCGGAGCTTCAAATTTCTCATTGGCAGACAAAATCAAGTCCTCCCTTTTCAAAGTTACATAGCCTTATGCTGTGTGTCTTTTTGGGCGATTAGTATTGTGTTACTCTGCATTGGCACTGCTTGTTGGTAATCGCTGATCGAAGCAATGCCACAAAAAATCAGTGATTGTCTACATTCAGTACTCTGCACGGAGTACTGATCGACATCAATTATCATACCAGCAATCTTATCATGCAGAATCATCTCTTGTCTATACAGGAAAGCCAAAATGTACCGGAACAGTATCGACAACCAAGACCATTAGAAACCAACATGTCTTCAAAACGCTATTTGATATGAATACTACAATATCAAGAATTAAGATATTAACTCCTCAATAAATAGTATCATGATTACCAGCTCTAGGGTTACACGAAACGTGGATTATCATTTACTCGTAGATACCCTGCAGTAGAAGTGTAGTACGGACTGCAGAGCATCGCCCAAGTACGTATGTTGCCAGTTATTTCAACCGATCAGTTCAAATTTCGAGGCGTTGAAATATATTTAACGACCCGTTCAGCATGGGGAGAGGTTCGTCTACGATCACCTTCATTATACAGGAACTGGGCATTTCTCAGTCCCACCACTCTATCTGTTCTGTCTCCGTTTGCTCTGCGCAGAATTCCGCCATTCAACTGGGGAGTCAACTTGCAACAATCCCAACCTTCGAGCCATTCGGCTTCAATGTTGTCTTCCAAACCCTCTATTTCCTCCTTCTTTTCCCGCCTCGCCATTTTATTCAAGCAAGGAGGGCTAAGAAATTCGAATCCCCCAAACATGTTCCAACCCTACGTTAGACCACTTTTCGCCTCCAGGTCATTTTAGTATGTCTCTCCCGTTTGGTTTAATTGACAAGGATCGTGTGCATGTCCTTCAGCGAATGGAGGATGCGATGGCTCGTGTGGTCTCCGAATTTCCCTTCCTGGCCGGGATGGTGGTACCATTTACCCAGCCAAATGGTAGAAGCAACGCACTTCAGGTGCGGCCTGTCACTGCTACCGAGATTGAAGAGTGCCCTATTCTGGTCACTCAACATCCTACAGAGTCTACCGCTGTTGCCGTGGATGGGAAACTCAACACTGCCTTGATGCCGTTCCCAATCGTCTACCCACCACGTAACCTTTCTCCTGTGCTACGGTTAAAAGCTAATCTGTTGGAAAACAAGCTGTACCTAGTCTGTTGCTTTGATCACCGAGTAATGGACGGGTCAGGCTTTTTTAGACTGGCTGCTACTTTCGCCGCGTTCTGTAGGGATCTAAATGCCCCGGTACCATTCACAACTGCACATGCGCAAGAAACAAGGCAGCATATCAAAGAGGTTGCCTCGACAGCCACACCGCAGGATCTTCGATGGACGACTTTTCCTGCCCCAGCAAGCGAAAACGAGATATCCACAGATTATAATCGAATGCCTATCAGTTCTCCTTATGTACTCGATGGCCGAAAAATCAAAACGCTGCGTGGAGCTTGCAATTTGGCTTTACAGACTTTTCCTGGGAAATATAGGAAAGATCTTCCCGATATGTCCCTTCCATCTAGTCTGGTCGTCAGCGCGCTAGTGGGAATATGTAGCAGTCGTGCCCGCTTGAGGGCTTTCCCCGATGAGCCGGAATTCTCGTCTGAGACGTTCATCGTGGAAAATATTCGAAAGGCACTCGATTTACGCCGGGGATATATGGGAAACACTATAGTGGGCACCCAGAGCAAATGTGATGGCTCTATACCTCCTCCGCCTGAGGCCTCGAGAAATATTCATGTGCCAGAGTCTCTCAGTCTGGTTGGGCCGGAAGATATCTGGCGGATCTGCAATGTTGCCCAGACCCTTCATGAAGCATCCGGACACTTGAACAAGCAGCATGCGCAAGGTATGGTCGCGAAAATGTCCCGCGAGCGTGATTGGAGTTCATTCCGACCAGGGTGGGGGTCAATTTTCTTGTATCTAATACCAAGTCAGCATCGCCTTATGTGAGGTATAGGCCATTTGGAGACCTTCAGTTGCTTGACTTGGTTTTCGATACAGTTCCTGGCTTTTGCTGGATAATGCCTAATCTTCCATCTGATGCTGCATCGTCTTATTCATGCTGGAGATTGCGATGGATTTTGGAACGGGCGGCGATGGAGTGTCTATCGAGCGATCCCCTCTTCCAGTGGGCTTCTGCTCCTAGTACAGTCTCCACATCCAACAAAATCTAATCCAAACGACCTAGTATCTTTTGTTAGCTTAGCAGTTACGTTTTGATAAACCATGTCCTACGATATAAGGCCAGGTTTTGGGTTTTGGGGTTTTCGGGTTCCGATGAATATACACTCTAAAGAAAACTTATATGGGTGACTTCTTTATGTACTGTTCATCAACATGAGATAAGTACATCTGTGTTGGGGACTTTGTAACATATATGTATAAGAGGTTAGCAAGCTCGTCCATACCTCGTACCTGCTTTCGTGTATAGAACAGAGAATCAAGAGAATACCAGTATGGCATGACGTTCGTTCCATATGGGTTCCAGGGAGCCAACAAAGCGGAATTCTTGCTCGAAGACCCAACTAGCTATCCTGAAATACGAGAAAACACCTGTAGCTTTTACATTTAAAAAGTCTTGATATCTTCCTGTTCAATGCGAGGTTGTTTGGACAGCCCTTCGGAGCTTATGAAAATGTGTAATCACCTCACTACTCAACTATTATTCGATCGTCCAAGGTATAAAATTGAGGAAGGATAGATTTAACTCAATCAGTCCATATGTAGATATTTTTGAAGTATCGCCGTCCGTATAGTTGTGAAAGCGTGAAAGTGTACCTGGCAGCCACTTGTGGCTGGTGTTCGGCCCCTAAAACGGCCCCGACCCAGGCAACGGAGCTCTGAACTCTCATTCTCCACTGTGTTCATGCCCCTCAAGTTCGACACTCCACGCCTCCGTTCTATATTACACTACCTCCTAATTCCCTTCCTGTTCTCCGAAAGAACTTCCTGCTCAATTCCACAATCGTCCTCTCCCAGCACGCCATCGCAGATTCGGCCGCGTCTCCAAACTACATCACGGGGAGCAATGGTCACTCGGAGATCTCGCTCATGAGCTCGATGGCTGAGGGCAGTGAGGGTTGGTCGCGCGAAGACGAGCTTGACCTAGGCCAGGAAGACGATACCCAACAACCTGACCATGGCGCCCTCGATCAAACATTACCTTCCCCGCAGGAACCAGCGGAAGAGCAATTGGACACGATAGACGATGCGGAGGACCATGATTCCGAGAAGACAGCGGAACAGAAGGACTTCAACTTTCCAGAAACCCCTCGGCCGCGACACGCGGGCTGGAACATGACAGAGAGCGTGGATGGAACAGGGTCAAACCCCGACGATTCCCCATCGCTACATGTGAGTGGTACACTTAGCGCATAACCCGGATAGCTAGCTGATTGATGGAAGGGTTCCATTCCGTCTTCCCTAAGTAGCAGTGCTCTTGCGCTCCGCGGAACTCCGCGAGTCAGCCCGAGCCCGGCCCGTCGCCCCTTTGACCTTCGATTCCAGTCCCGGTTATCTTCATCGCCGCAAAGTGTGTCTAGAGCCGGCTCGCCATTTCTAGCGCATCTTCACTCCCGGCAATCTTCAATAACCAGCCAGGTTTCCCCGACTCCAGAAACAGAACCCGAACCGCTCCAGGGACCTTGGGATGTGGTGCGATGGACAAAGCTGCGGAAGATCACTGGGCAGGCGTTTTCAGAAATCGGGAAGCGCAATTTCGGACGGCCAACTTGCCTTGCAGTCTCCACGTCTATTGTGATAGGTACATCCAAGGGTATAATTCTCGTGTTCGACTATCAGCAAAGCCTGAAGACTATTATTGGAACGGGCACACCAGGTTTGTCAAAACAAGTCTACACCCTTTGACCCATTATACTGATGATCAACTAGCTGTTGGATGTGGTGCTGTTACATCTCTAGCTCTTTCCGCGGACCATACTACCGTTGCAGGGGGCCATGACTCGGGTGATATCTTCACCTGGGAGATTTCGCGCTCAGCAAAGCCTTTCCTTCATATCCCACCAATCCCGGCCAATCAAGTCGAGACTCGAATATCTGATGGCCATCTTTCCGGATCCGCGGTCATTCACATCGGGTTCCTTGGCACCAGACGAACAGCGCTGGTCTCGGCTGACACACGGGGCATGTCTTTCTCCCACTTGGCAACAAGAGGAATGGGTGCAATGGGGCGAACAGTCAAGACGATTCGAATCCTGGGTCGATATCCTCAGGCAACAGCAGAGATCAAACGGCGGAAGCCTAGCTCTGTTCTTGCTTTCTCTCCTCTGCCACTCGGCAATGTAGAGCAATCCACTGATTCTTTGGGCCTCGTTGCCATGCTGACGCCCTATCTTCTTGTTATTGTGTCTACCACACCAGTGGCACAAACCCAACATAAAGCACCGAGACCCAAAGAAGTCCCCGCTCACAGTGCCATGACCGGTGCCTTAGCATGGTTTCCAGCCATTCGACTGAAGGGCAAAGACACCCAAACTTCAAACACAAAGCTTGTCTACTGCTGGTCAAATGTTTTAACCGTACTGGAAGTCTCAGAGGCTGAACCTGACGAACATACAGACAAAGACAAGCCTCCCAGCCTTGTCTTCAGAGCGCGCAGCAGATGGAGAGCAGATGAGGCCATTGTAGCTGTTCAGTGGCTCAGTCGTTCAGTGCTCGCGGTATTCACAATAACGCAGCGACTGTTGATAATCGAGGATTATTCGATGCATGTGACCGACTCGGTCGATCTCGCCAACAGGCACATATATCACACTGATCTGTTCTCCTCGCAGCTCCATTCGCTAGTTGAACAGCTTGACGAAGAGGATGAGTCGATGCACGGAGTAGTAGCAGATGCATTCCATATGAGTTTTCGTTCTTATAAAGGGCGCTTGTTCTTGCTTGGTTACAACGAAGCCTTGGTAGGCAATCTCTCAAATTGGGCTGATCGCTTGCTGGCGCTTATGGAGACGGGTGACTTCATTGGGGCCATTCGACTAGCAACCTCTTACTACACGGGAGAGTCGGAAAAGCTGACGGTTGGGCTTCCAGAAGAGGATGCTTTGAGACAGCCCATTGTGCAAGAAAAGCTTTTGGAAATGATCTCCGCATCCCTCAAGTATGCTTTTGGTCGAAATTCTGAAGCAAGCAACGACCGACTTGAGAACCACCAGCTGGAGGAGCTAGCAGAAGTTTCTATCGCGGCTTGTATCTACATGACCGATGAGGAGTTCCTTTGGGAGGAAGTCTTCAACTGGTATGAGGAGCAAAGTTCGGCGGGAATTTTCCTGGATGCCCTCGAACCACGCATCGTTGATGGAACTTTGCGATCACTACCCCCGACCGCGGTCAAGGCCTTGATCAACCATTTCATTGGAACTCACTCCGCCGGTCGGTTGGAGGAGATCATCTGTTTGCTTGATACAACCACAATGGACATCGATCAAGTCACAACGCTATGTAAGCAGCATAACCTTTACGACGCCTTTATATATGTATGGAACCGCTGTTTGATGGATTATGTGGGACCACTGGAAGAGCTACTAGGTCTTATTCCCTCCCAAACCGAGCCCTTGGTCAACGGTGACTACGTGATTGAAATGAGAAAGCAGAACAACGCAATGAAAATGTTCCCATATCTGTCATTTATCTTGACGGGTCGCATCTATCCCACCGGAGACGACATGGATGAGGCTGAAGCCGCGCGAGCCAAGACAGACTTGTACCAATTCCTTTTCTCAGGCCGTGGGTTCAGTACGGTATCTGGAGATACCAATGGGGCAGACTCCTTCTCCCACCTTCGAGCCATGCTCAAGTTCGATGCTTCCAGCTTCATGAGCATGCTCAACGAGGCATTTGAGGACAGCTTCCTAAATGAGCCCGAGAGCGAGGATGTCTCCGTGTCAGGCATGTCGATTAATCGTCAGTACCTTGTCAGTATTTTGTTGCAAGTCATGACCGGCGATTTCTTCACGTCTTTTGATACCATCTACCTCGATATGTTTGTTGCTCGCAATCTTCCCAAATATCCTCAGTATATTCTCCTTTCTGGCACAACCCTCCATCAGGTTTTGGTCCGTGTATGCCAGTATCCCGAGCAGGAAATGGCAGACGATTGCGAATTGAGTGCAGAGTATCTGCTGTCCTTCTACCACCCGCCGGACATCCAGAACATGATTCCTCTATTCAAAGAGGCACGCTTTTTCCGGATTCTCAAGTCGACGTACCGTTTAGAGAAACAATATCCTCTGTTGGTGATGACTTACCTAGAGGATCCTAATGACCGCGAAGCTATCTTCACCTGTCTGCATGACTGCCTCCGTCCAGGCTCTGGGCTTGGCAAGAAACAAAGACGCGATATAGTGGATGTAGTCAAGGAGCATGCGCGGGAGATAGCTGCCATTGACGTGACGCGCGCTGCACAGACTATGCAAGACCTGGCCCCTGAAACACACTCTACGTTTTTGCGGGTTCTGGAAGATGATCCCCAGAAACAGTACCAGTACTTGCTGGTGTTGGTTGAGCCGCAGGCTCAAACTGCGGACACCCAATCTTCGCCCAGTATTGAGAACTGGATGATCGAGCGTTATGTGCAGCTCTTGTGCAAATACAACCCCACTCATGTTGCGGACTTCGTCGACGGATTGCGAGTTGGTGACATCCACCTGGACGAACTGCTCCCATTCATAGAGGAAAGCGGAGCCATCGATGCTGCCGTCATCCTCCTCGCCCGACAGGGTCAAGTCCGCCAGGCCCTGGACCGTCTTGTCGCACATCTGAGCACACTCGAATCCGGTCTGGTAGGCATTCTCCAGAGTGTGCGCGAGAGCCCCGACTCAGCGACTACCGCCGAGGCAATTGACGACCTGATCGAGTCTCTGAACAAGTATGCCGGTGTCGGAACGTGGCTCTGCCAGGGCCAAAGTAAGACAGTCAAGCAGTCGCGCACAGGCAGCTCCAACGGCAAGCGCAACGCACCAACCCTCGACCAGCCTCTAGCCTTCGATGAACTCCTCTGGCTCGACCACATCGAAGCTGTGGTCCGCATCGCAAGCAACGTCTTCGCCTTCATACAAGGAAACAACGCCCAAATAACCCTCCCTACTCAACCAACAACATCCCTCGCCGGCGAAAGCGGCCGCCTCACAACCTCCTTCCGCACCCTTGTCCAGCAAGTCTTCACAGCTCTCCTAGCAAGCACAGTAAAAAGCAGCCCCGCCACGACCGAAAGAACAGACATGTCCTTCCTACGCATCCTGCGCGCATTCCTCACCCGCGCCGCAACCTGGTCCCCCTCCCTCCTCGAGCTGCGCGCCGTGCTAGCCTCCATCTTCTCCGCCTACTCCTACGAGAAATCTCTCCTGACCCTCGCAAACGGCATGCTGGACCGTGACCTCTTCGTCCACGTCGATGAAGTCTCCCGTCTACGCCAGCACGGCTGGCGGCCCCGCGGCCACGTGTGCGAGATCTGCCGCCGCCGCATCTGGGGCCCCAGCGTTGGTGACGCGCATTGGTCCGCATGGGAAGGTCGACGCGCCGATGCCTATGCCCGTCGCATCGCGAAACGCAATGAGGATAGCTATAACCCGTCCGAGCGCGGGAAGGGCAAGGCTGCTGATGTCGGAGTCGGTCATTCGTATCGTCTAGATGCGGGCGGTGCGCACGCGCATGCCCACGTTCTCCGGGAGCATGGCACCCATGGTGGTATGTCCGATGCGCATGCTGACCATGACGACGACCACGCTAAGACTGGAGCTGGGCCTAGCACTCCAAATCCAGTCACAGAGAGCGCCCCAGAACCCGTTGTTGTTTTCGCCTGTCGACACCTCTACCACCGACGCTGCGTGCTGAATGCCGTCAGCGCGGGGGCCCGACCCGCTCAAACCGCGTTTCGGCGCGATCATTTGGCCGACTGGTCAGGAGCCGAGCTGTTCTGTCCGGTTTGTACATAGATTTTAGTTGACAGCGATGATGATTATTTCCTTTTTGTCCAGGGATATTCTTTTGTTACTTTTTTTCTATCTCTTTGCTTTTTCCTACTGTAGGTGCTCTTCGGGGGGATCCCAGATAAGACACACGATCGTCTTGCATATAGCCATTTTCTTTTTTTTCCCTTTTTTTTAAACCCTCAACTACTGTAATGTAATGTGATATTAAATCCAGGCCTATCCCTGTTATAGTACATCTTTATTAGTCTTTTCTGTCTTCCAAGATTCTGTGGGAACAGGTGACGTGAATCGTGAGGTTCTCCGCTTCAGCTACTCAGCTCATTCTCCAAGACGCACGCTTCGACTTGTACTCCCAATGTGATCGCATGGGGATTCTTACTCCGGATTATCATTCGGTCTCGTTCCAGGATTCGTCTTCTATGACCATGCCCAGGTGGGTTCTGGACTGTGTGATCATGGTATTTTGGTCAAGAGGGTCTGGTGTTCCTTGGTTTACGTACTGATCTACAAAAGCTGGGGTATGGGGTTGGAGTAACTCTTGAGATGACACTGTCATTTCAGTGCCTTCGATATCAGTTTTAGGTAGGATCTCCGTAAGAACTGGTCATGTACAGAGGTACATAGTATTAAGTACTGTCACGAGTATGTCTCTGTAGGGTGGGTACTTCTGTCTAAGTCGCTTAAGCGAAGGGTAGAGAGACCTGGTGATCGGAAGCCGCTTCCACTAAACTACGCCACTTCAAATTTCTACTTCTCAGATTTTCGATTTGACTGTTGACTCGGTGAAGAACGGCCTGATAACCCATACCAGGAACAAAGGGAAAAAGTACTAAACGGAAATGAAAAAAGCCCAAAAAGGCTTGATAGCCGAAAGTGTTCAAACAGCCGTTGACCTATCATCTGCGTTCTTTTCCCTTGACTATTATACAAAACCTTCGATGTTGGCGGTAAGCACCCTGATTGGTCATAAATATGAAATCCCTTTTTCGTTTCTTGTTTTTAGCGTCAAATCCGAAACAATTTAAGGTTAGTGTGGGCGCTTGAGATATCCATGGATCCAATATGGTTAAATGTGATTAAACTACTACATTGATACATTGATATGATACATTTGATACATTTGATACATAGTCATGTTGTTGATTCTACTCTCAATACCAATATGAATACATTCCAGACTAGGCTGGTTCAATCGACAAAATTTAAATGATTCACTGGCACTGATTCAGGGCTCGGAGATGTCAGACTCTGATATTCCATGATGTTTCAACATGCCCCTCTTTTGCCGCATATCTTCAATTGGATCGTCGTCTGGTGGGTGTATCACGCTATTCCCTTCTTTTTCTTTTTCTTTTTTTTAAATTATATTATATTATTTTTCCGTTTGTGCTTTTTTCTTGGGGAGTGGAGACATCTCAAGTATAAAAATGATCCCGCCTCCCCCGTTTGTGAGGAATTAGTCTAGTTTGTCCATTGTGCATGTTTATTGCCTACTGTCCCTCCCTATTCATCTATATTCATTCCTTACCTATTGTCTTTTCCTATTTCGGTCAGTATCTGGTATACTGGATCTTTTCAAGTCTTTGACAGACTCCCTCTCTCCAATCCCTCTGTTCTCCTTGCAACTATCCTGCAACTATCCTGCAAAGATCCAAGCGTTTAAGCACAATGCACGTTCTCTCAACTATTCTGCCTGCACTGGGCTTGTTAGCCCATGTATCTTCCGCCGCATACACCCTGCGCGACGACTACGGTACCTCCGACTCGTTTTTTGACAAGTTCAAATTCTACACAGTATGTCCCTTAGTATTGGTCCCATCTTTCTGTCCTGTCTTCAATACTCATCCGATATATAGGACACCGATCCCACCAATGGCTTTGTGAGCTACGTCGACCGTAACACCGCCTCAAGCAACGGTCTCATCAACACGGGCAACGGCGTCTACATCGGCGTCGACCATGCCAACACCGCCACCACACCTGGTCGCCAGAGCATCCGCCTGGAGAGTACCGCCACCTACAAGCATGGACTTGTTATTCTCGATCTGGCCCACATGCCCAGCAGTACATGCGGCAGCTGGCCTGCCTTGTAAGAGCCCCAGATCCCCAAATCGTCTTTCTCGTTCACAAAAAAAAAAAGAAAGAAAGAAAGGAGACTAACATTTACAGCTGGATGCTCGGCTCCAACTGGCCCAACAACGGCGAAATCGACATCATCGAAGGCGTAAACGAGCAAACCCAAAACCAAATGGCCCTCCATACCAGCAACGGCTGTACAGTCAACAACACCGGTTTCACAGGAACCCTCGACACAGCAAACTGCTACGTCCAAGCCCCCGGCCAATCCGCAAACAGCGGTTGTTCAATCCGAAGCCGCAGCACGCAGTCCTACGGCACAGGCTTCAACAACGCCGGCGGCGGCGTCTACGCCACAGAATGGACCGGCTCCGCCATCTCAGTCTGGTTCTTCCCCTCCTCCGCCGTGCCGGGCGATATCTCATCTGGAAACCCCAACCCGGCGGGCTGGGGTGCGCCCACGGCACGCTTTGCCGGTAGCTGCAACATCGACTCTCATTTCAATGATCTGCAGATCGTGTTCGATATCACCTTCTGTGGAGACTGGGCTGGCTCGGTTTGGGGTTCGTCGAGCTGTGCTAGTCGTGCTGGATCGTGCGTCGACTACGTGCAGAATAACCCGACGGCTTTCCAGGAGACTTATTGGCGTGTGCGCTCGCTTAAGGTTTATCAGCAATTGACTAGTTCTGTTGCTGGTGCTGGGGGTGTGGAGGTGGGTGCTGAGGGTGTGGAAGTGGAGGCCGGTGTGGCTTGGAATCCTACGGGGTTGTTTGAGCGCCCTCCGCAGAAGACTTCTATGAAGCATCGTCGACAGCATTATCGTCATGGACATGGGAGTGGACATGGTCATGCTTAGAGGGCGATAGTGATGGATGGATTGTTTTCTGTGTTGAAAGCGATATGGGTCCAATCTGTCTTACATTTCGATTGTGATTTATTTCTTTCTCGACCTGCTTCTTGATTCCCATCTGTTTTACGGTTTCTTTGCTCGTCTGGACTCCGCTAGCCTGTGCTAGTCCACGGCTGTGGAGGGGCGACCGCGTTTGATACGCTTTTTATGCTTTATGATGATTGTGAATACCCTTTCCATTTCGATGGTGAAATGAAATATGGACAATGAAGACAAACAATACGTATGACCATGGATATTATGTTGTAGTGGCTCGTAGAGTTCAGCTTTGTATATATTGTGATACATATCCTCAACCCTTCTTCTTATATTAAAGATGTCGCAAAAGATGTAAGTTACTCTAACCCGCCTAGGTGATGTCTTTTTTAAGATGCTCCATGAAATCAATAAGACAAGTCAAGAATATATACTTGAATCTATGTACCAATTGACATTCGTATTAACATTAACATTAACCTCAACTCCCAAACCCAAGAACATCACGCTGATCATCCGTAAGCCGACCCCATTCCAAAAGCAACCGAAAGAAGTAGATCTCCATATCTTCCTTCCTCAACGCTGTATTCGCCCACTTCCTCCCTTCCTCCGCAATCCACTTCCCCTGCTGATCATGCGCCTTCATGCGCATCTGCGGGGCATCAGGACCACTCTCCTCGGATACGGCAGCAGGTACGCCGGCAAAGTACGCGAGCGTACTCCACAGCCCATGGAGACGGATATCAACAGGGACAAAATGCAGCCACGAGGTAACGCGGGAGTCGAACCATTGGCGGAACAGACCTGTTTTGAGGGGCAGGCTGCGGCTGTGTAGGAAGGGGAGGAATCGGCCGCTGAAGCCTGCGCCGTCGAGGTCAAAGAGGAAGCGGTGCGACCAGTGCGCTTGGAAGTCTGCCCAGCCCGCGGTGCCAAATTCTGAGGCTTGTTCGCCGCAGTCGCCGCAGCGGACGATTGGGTCGGCGATGTGAACGGCGGTTTGGAGACCGAGGTCTGAGATTGGGGCGTTGCCGTCCATTATCTCGTAACGGAAGGAGTGTTCGTTGGAGTCTGTCGGGAGGAGGACGGAGACTTGGTTGTTGGTGTTGTTGTTTATTAGGTGGGCGAAGCGCTGCCGTGGCATGCCTTTCCATTCACCGAAGAGGCTGACGCCTTCTGAGGTGCTGCCGAGCCAGTAGAGGGAGTTCTCTTTGTGACTGTATTCTGGATCTGGGTGTTCATCTGTGGGTTCGTATTTTGCCTTGTCGATGTAGTTCCATGGGCTTGGGAAGAGGATGTCGTTGAATCCAGTGAGAGCGCTCTGGCTGAATACCGGGATGAGTTCCTGTGACACCTTGAATGAGGCTGGGGAGATTAGGAGACCGTGGAGGAAGGCAAGGTCGGGTTGGTGGCAGATTTCGGAGGCGATGTTGAAATCTAGAGGAAATTGACCCATGGAATGAGGAGCCACGCATGAGAGACATGTCTCACGACGATTCCAGATTCGCTGAGAGCGCGCCTTCGATGAAGGTGGGCAGACAGCGCTCACATAAGGGTCAAATACACCTCTCCACGCTCCGTCAGTGAATACAGTGATGTTGGTTTGATCGGCGGGTTCAATCGGGCCCCAACCATCATCTCGGTCGGTTGACCAAGCATGCACCATGCGCTCTTTAGGGATCATTTCTTGCATCTCAGTCTGCCGGTTCAACATTGATATTTTCTCCCAGGGAACTGCAACTCGTGGCTCATCATTCAGATTGAACACCAAGTCCATATCTGGGAGATATTTAGTGAAATTCTTCATCATATCCGCGGCACCCGCCACCATCCATGCATGGGTTGGTTTGATGCCTTCTTGCACCATGGCCGTGCCGTTGCGAATTCTGATCCCACCGAGATCGTTGAAAGGGTTTGTGGCTAGTTCGTGAGTCATTGCGCGGATGTGCTCCGGAGCCAGAGCTCGGAATGGAAGTAGGTCGTGGTATATCTGATCGAAATCATCGATGACAGCTGACGACCGGTTAGTGGCATATCGATACCATTCGTCAAAGCCCCTATATAAAGATTAGTTGAATTATGCGACAAACATAGGTATTCAAAACATACGGTGGTGGATGCTGGTTATATCGCCTCCGGTATTCGGTAACAGCACCCCCAAGAGACTTGCTCCTAGACGCCTGAGCGAGATAGTTGTGATGTTGAAATTTGCCGTCGTTGATGAGGAACTCAATCGGGTGTACATCAGCAAGACGATGCTTGCTCACTGCAAAAACGAGACTAATCCCACACATCACGGCGAACAATATTTGTATGGCAACGTTAGTGCGGCACAATTTCGGTTCTTCGTCATGAATCACCCGCGCAAGAAGAAATAGGGCAGCACCCGTCAAAGATGCAGCCAACGGAAGAACAGCATGAGTTAGAGAGATAAATGGGAAGGGTGATTGTTCGGTAAGGGCCGATAAAGAGGAGAAGTAGACGATCATGAAACCGCCTATAATTGACAATCCAAGGATGTCGAAATGCGGTAACTAGGAGAATTAGTACTAATGGAGAAATAAGTTTTGAGAGCTGGGAAGGCTCACCATATGCCAGGCCGACAAGACCAGTATAAGAACCAACACAGACTGGCTGAAAGCGCCGCGTGAGTACTCTAGATCCAACATGGGTTGACCGGCAAGTTCAGGAGAGCTATCTGGTACCCAGTAGGATATAATACTCCAGACGAACGAAAGACCCTAAAAAGATCATCAGAACAAACATTCCCAGCACGATCGTAGTTGTCCGCTTACCAAGAGACCAGCTCCAAGGAACGTCAAAGTTCGTTTTCTGCGCACATCATCAAATTGAGTGCCAATCCGACATAGCTCGGTAATACCGGTAAGTATAACAGAATCAGCAAACAGGTTGAACAGCCTGTATGATCGTAGGCGCGAGGCGCCATGTAACACGATAGGACAAATATAGGTCGACCGAGTTCCAGCCGAGAAAGATGAAGCCAAGAGCCCACCAACCGACAAAAATGCGGCTGCAATTAACCCTCTGAAGCGACTTTGCGTAACATAATAGAAGCACCGACGGGAAACAGAGTAAACCACCTGTAGCGGCAGCGTTTCGAATCGTTGGGTAGGGACATATCTGTCCACTTGTCGTGATCGCTGGTTGCGCCAGTAGTCATAGATCGAAATAACGAAAGGAATAGCGTACTGTCCATGACGCCGTGTTAGTCACATGGAAAAATTAAACGATAACGGAGACATTCAGCCACTTACAGCGTATCCAGCGGGCGCGCATTCAGTATTCCGAGTTACTTGGCGAAATGATTCGATCCGTAAACCACACAACCCCAATATAAGACCGAGCTTAATCCACCATGATTTAAACCGTAGCCGAGGGCGAGTCTCAACATCGCCCAGTGCGAAAGATGACGTCGATGCGCGGGAAGGAAGCTCAAATTGCTCCGCGAGAGGGATCACTGGCCGTTTACTTGTCGGCGATGTCGGTGTCGATCCCAATGAAACCAACCGACTCAATACCAAAAGAGTCAACCCCGTAAGGAAGCATACTAGGATAGATGTACTGATGGGGCGATCTGTATCGGCGCAACAGTCAGTTCAAGTTGCAGAACAATATTGATATCCACGGCGACGACTCACCAAAAGCGAATGTGGTATTGTAGGAGGTAGTAAGGAATAGTGAGCTTAAAAGAAATATCCTGCTCATAGAGTGCGATCGTGAGTTTGAATTTTCAATAATGTGAGACAGCTTGCCAGATACTCACCCCACACAGAGCTTCAGCCTAAGGTCAGAAGATATTTGGACCATATTGCACCAATCGTTCTATTATCGCTCTATAGCGTCCCGAGCCATCGCTGTAATTTTAACAATGAATAGAATTGTTGAAAGAGTAACAAGACAGAAGACAAAAGATTAACCTCCTGTGGATCTTCAGGAGATTGACAGTGTTCGAAACATGGAAGAAAGCAGGGCACAGAGGGCCCTTCGATCCACTGGCGACTAATCAGAGGCAATATGGAGTGCTGATCCATTATAGTTGCGTCAACGGGCGGGATATGATGATTTCATGGGGTTTTTGCTGCGCACATAACCACGGGCCGTGGCTTGCATGGCTTGTATTTCTGATATCTTGCGAATGAGAATGGTGGAAAATCTCCTGCCACCACGCCCAAATCTGCTAGTTCCTACTTGTAAGCAGATTTTGCCCTGGAGATTTTATATTGCACAAGCTCATCAGCAAGAAATGCTGAGCCGATCAGTGGCCAGAATCAAGCCTTGGTTAATTTCACGACCCACTTTAGTCCTGAGCGTCCTGTCGCTAGTGGACCCTTCCAATGAGCATACATATATACTTCATACATCATGTCCAGCCTTCTAATCAGACCCTGTAAACGGCATGTAGATAAAGAAGGTTCACACGCAGTCAAGACCCAGTACACGCGTCATATCAGCTACGACTCTGTTATATCCTATCGGCTCCATTCGGCTGCATGTCGTGAAATAAAGACGGTCCGAGCGATCCACGGTTAGCGCTAAAACTCAATTAGATTAGGCTAAACCTAAAGCAGCTCGTGGATTTCCTAATTTGGTCCGTCCACGTCAGCCACAGTCATGTGATTCGATAAGGGTCCAGGCCGTACGACTATCTACCAATAAAATGCAACCGCGGCTAGTCCATTTTGAGCCTTCGACCTCAATATAGAGCGTCCCACGTGACTTTAGAAAGGTGTAAGACCAATCAGATATAGTGAAGAGACCCATATGCGTATACCCTCAACAAAAGACGTTGAAAGAGGAAAAATAAAGGGGTCTCTTTGATTAATTTTGTCATCCTCAGCTCGAAGATTATACTAATCTTCTACGTATGTTTCTAGTTGGCCATATGATCCAAAGGACAAACGCCTAATCTATAGAACTCATCATTATAAGGCCGTTTTGGCCCAGATATATAC